TAATATTATTAATTATATAGTTTTTTCCTAATAAAAATTTAAAACAAAAATCCTATAATTATGATTTAATGCTTTGAAGTTACTCATCTATCATGTATGTTTCATAGATAATAAATATATTAATTCACATACAGACTACACTTCAATTTATAACTTAGCCAAATTATTTATTAAAACAGATTTTTTTATTATAATTGAAAATTTAATTAAAGCATTTTTCATTCCATTCTTCAGAAATAGTTCAAATTTTTAAAATATGCATTATAGCTATTTAGAATTCCAAAAGTATGAAAGATAACACACCACATCTGTTCTTTGTTAAAATTATTTATAATGCAAAATATCTCAAAAAATGTTTTTTCTTGATTAACATGTTCAAGGACTTACTTAATATTTTAGTATTTTTGTAATTGTTTGAGTGTGATAGATTTTTATACAGTATGTGGAAGAAAATAATATATATAAATATTGATATGTTAAAGTAACAAAATGTCTTCATTTTCTATCACTTACAACAGCAGCAACAGTTCAAAACAATCCAATTTCATTTAAGGAGAAGTTTTATTTGAGGCTACGCTTCTGCAAAAAATGTAAAGTGGATAAAAACATCGTCTGTTGATTATGCCAATACTGTAATTCGCAATACAATTGAGTAAAAATTAAAAAGTTAGCCCCAGTATTTACATTATAAATACATTGAAGCTACAAAATGTCTTCATTTTCCATCATTAAGTGAAAATTATTACTGACTGTAGCCAACCTTGTAAACAACAAAAAAATGAAGTCATTTTGTAGCTTAAACATACTAATACATTTATATATTTTAATGTAAATAATATTGGCCACATTTTTAATTTTACTCAACAAATAAATAAACTCAATAAACACGAAAGAAAANTTATTTACTCCAATGTATTTTTATGAAAAAATGCTTTAATAATAGAAAAATATAATCTCCATTAACAATATATATTCCAGCAGTTCTTTTTCAATATTCTCAGGAAGAATTAGCTTTCTACCTAGTGTTTTTTTCACAAATTGCTCCGGACGAATGTCTGCTTGCAAAGAGAGAGTTCGCAAAATAATTTTTGGCACCTCATAAAATTTTGCAGCTTTCTTCAGCCGCATTTTTTTTATCCGTTACCATACATACTGTCTCTTCCATTTTTTTCCTGCCTCTATATTTGTCTCTTCGAGTTTTTCTTTGGCTTGTTCAGCCGGGGTTTAAGCATCTGAAAATTAAGTAAGGTTTTAAATNCATTTATATATTTTAATGTAAATAATATTGGCCACATTTTTAATTTTACTCAACAAATAAATAAACTCAATAAACACGAAAGAAAAATAAACATACATATAATTATTACCTGTGATATATAACTCAATAACGGTAATCAAATTTTCCTTTCAAACAAATTCTGGATATTTAATTCAAAATTCTATATTTTCATCTTCAATAATTCAAATTAAATTTAAATGTAACTGTGCTTTTTAAATACATATGTTATTGAATGCAGATTCAAAATTCTACAATTTATAATCATTACTATAAAAGTTACATTAATTAAAAGCCTTTCTATCATGAAAAGTTTCAATTGTTATGATGCAAATTTCAATTTATTCAATTATTAAAGTAGAGTATTTTTATTATTATTTCTGGATTTTTCCTTATAGGAAAAATGCATTTCATATTTAAAGGTNTTAAGTAAGGTTTTAAATCGAAATAATTAGATATGTTTTTAAATTAAATGTTTAAAATAAATTTTGCGAGGCCTCTTCCGAGAAACAAGGGGCGCACCGATTCGACTTGCTCCAGGGCGCTGAATATGAAGCTACGCCACTGGGTATACGAAGTACTGTTGTTTTCTCTATGAGAGGGGTAGCAGAAATCGAGTAGCACATTTCAAAAGGAGAGACTGACCATGAAGGAAATCCCTCGAACCTGGATCAAAAAATGTTATTTCTGAACTATTAGTAGAACGCAGTTCGATCATACTACCATCGCTGCGCATAAAATTAGGACTTATGAAAAACTTTGTCAAAACCATGGATCGAAATGGCCCAGAATTTAGTTTTTTAGAGAGACATTTCCAAATATTAGTGAGGCGAAAGTTATAGGGATATTTGTAGATCCACAGATTTCCAAGCTTCTCAAAAATATGCACTTTAATAGCGTACTAATAGGTGCTAGAAAAGAAGCTTGGAATGCTTTCAGGGTGGTGGTAAACAATTTTCTTGGAAACATAAAGCTAATTACAAACAAAAAATTACAAATAACATGCTGTCGTGTTCTAAATAGATGAGATGCAACGTGTCATTGAAAATGCACAAATGCACTTTTTGCATCCTTACATTGACATTTTTCCTGAATACTGTGGGTCTGTCAGTGACAAACATGGGGAGCGTTTCCACCAAGACATTGCTTGTATGGAAAAGTGATACCAAGGAAAATAGAGTCAGGCAATGTTAGCAGATTACTGCTGGAACATTATATGTGAAACACTTACAGATTCATACAAGAAGTCTGTAAATAACTGTCATACATGCGAGTGATGTCCTGGGTATTTTATGCTTTCACTATTTATTTAGTTTTTATGTATCAAAAAGTGTTCTGATGTTTTCTGTGTTTCAACTCGAATGAAAATTACATTATGTGTATGTATTTAGATATTATGCAATTTATTAAACGTTGATACACCTTGTAAACTTGAGCAATTCTGGTTTTTTTTTATAACTATTTTTGAATTCAGCAAGTCGAAATCATTAAGAAACAGCTTGTTTTGTTTCCGAAGGAAACAAAAAGTTTTTATTTGTAGACCTGTGTAATTTATTAACTTTAATCTGTTCCTAACTTTTTGTTTCAACTTTAATCTCTCTCTATCTCATTAATAAACACAATATAAATTGTAAATAACATATATCTCAGCTCCTTTCTCTTGCAAACTACAATAATTTACCTAATATTAATAAATAATAAAAAAAGTTATTGGCTTAACCTTGATAAACTCCAAAGCCACCCTAAATTCTAAATCTCCTGTTTTGTAACACTTTAAATCTATCCTACCTTAACACATGGCTTAACATTTTTATACATTTCCATAATTAAATGTATATAATTTTCAACATTCCCTTTTTTGCCGATTCAGAGTTATCGGGAATCCCGAAGATATCCCATATTAATAATGTATATACAGGCTTAACTATGAAATTTTTGACTACGTTTTCTTGTCCTTAACGAAAACTCCCAAAATATTTAAAAATGAACACATTATTGTAAGCAAAAAATAGACAGGTTAATCAATTTAAAATCTAAAATCGTGAAAGTGACAGTTAATAGAAATATAAATATTATCGACATTTACGAATAAATAATGTTCAAAACCGAATTAAATAGTATTTATAAGCGGTCCTTTAAAAAAGACAAAATAAATAGCTGAGTTAAAAACGAGAAAATTTCATATATTAAAAAAATTTTCAAATATTTACAGTTCAATCTCTCTATGCTCCACCATCGAAGCACTCGAATCACTGGATATGACAGAAATATTCATTATGCCAGTATTCAGTATCATACCATTGGAGCTATTGGCAGCGCAAGGGCCAATATACCTATCGACTCTGCTAATATCAGAAGATAAGATCAGAGCCTTACATTCAGTTACTAAATCAAAACTAATACGAGTGGAACCGAATTCACAATAATCTAAACACGTAGCTATCATTCTTTTAAATATATTGCATCGCACGTATAACATTGTATAATACAAAATGGTCTCTACCTTTAAATAAGTTACCGAGCTCCATTCATTAAAAATATGTAAATACAACTTATTTTATTTATAATTAGTAACTGTATCTTTAAACTAATATAAATGATTACTGTATTTGCTAATCTCATTAAAATATCAGAGACATCCGTTTCATTCAACATTATAGGATAATCTCGATAGCCAAAATTTTGCAACAAGGACACAATACGATCTCTCCACACTACTCTTTGAGAAATTAAATATAATTTAGCGGACTCTGTGAGTTTACTGTCGGACTGTTTACGTAACCATCTTAAATTATTATTTTTGAAATTTTGAAATTTTGAAATTAAAATTTTTGAAAGAAATGACTGAAACTTTTTTTGTAAGAGTCGTACTTTTATTTTATTAATATAAAATAGTCGTTGGCCATGCAAAACTTATTATTTTTTACTTGAAATGTATTTTGTGATTGTGACAAGAACACCAGATGACGCTTTTATCATTTTTTACATTTTAACTACGGAGGCAGTAGCCTAAAAAGGAAGGTCGTCTCCGTGAGTTTGTGATTTTATGAACTGCTGATGGTGCGAACAAATGAAAATTACATTATGTGTATGTATTTAGATATTATGCAATTTATTAAACGTTGATACACCTTGTAAACTTGAGCAAATTCTGTTTTTTTTTTTTTTTTTTTATAACTATTTTTGAATTCAGCAAGTCGAAATCATTAAGAAACAGCTTGTTTTGTTTCCGAAGGAAACAAAAAGTTTTTATTTGTAGACCTNCATGGATTATTATAGATCATACACAAACATTTGTATTACATAATGTGTATATATATATTATGTAATACAAATGTTTGTGTATGATCTATAATAATCCATGCCAATGTAAACGTTTCTTTTTTTTTTTTAACTGGTTTACACGGAATCATCGTGATATAGTGGCAATTTACGCGTTAGGACGCTAAAATAATTACCTATCGTAATTAACTGTGTTAGTATCGAATTGCCCACCAGTACCCGAGCGATTACGTTCCTGAACACTGGTCGTGGGTTCGCGCCTCGCCCGGATCGAGCTGGCCACGTCGAGTTTTCCGGGTTTTCTCACGTCTGTAACACCTGAATAGGAGCCAGTTACCGATTTTCAGCCGCGCAGGCGACCGCAACTGCAACAAGCGCGTCTTCTCGTGGTCACACATTGTTCGCTGACATTGCAATTCGGAAACATGTGACTATAATAAACCAATAAAATTACAGTAGCTTGTTTTTACTACTTTCGTGAGTTTACCTACGGTTTACGTTCTACTTCAGAGTAATTATGGAATTTCAGCTAATTTTCTTATTAAAATGGCAAGCAGTTCCTTTTCTGCAATGAATAAAAGAAAAACGGCGATCATTTTGATAGAGTTGGCGAGAATACACGAAAAGATAAAATCTTCGATAAAAGGAAGAATTAAAATCCCACAGGCATTTGTGAGCCTGAATAAGTTCGATTAATTTCGATTCGATAAAAGTATCAATCCTCTTACTTTCCGCCATGATGATGAACTATTTTCAATGTTGTCACCGTATGACGTGGCACAAAGGCGTTTGCTGATTGGATGCGCGTTTACAATCGGCGCGAGTAAAACAAACTTTTTGTTTCTATTTCAAATTCGCGGTTTTCGAATGAAGTTTACTAGTTAACGAGAACAGCCGTCGCGGTTGCAGTTGCCTGCGCGGCTGGAAATCTCATGGTGTGACATGGCTTTAAAAGACCTCGCAGAAGGCATTTCTCCCTCGCGTAACATCGTGTATCCAGAGAAGGCACCGGAAACCACTCTGGTACCAGTAAC